CTACATTAATAGCAGGTCGGATTCCACGATAAAACAGTTCTGTTTCCAAAAAGATTTGTCCGTCCGTAATGGAGATTACATTGGTAGGAATATAATCCTCTTCTTCAAATGGAAGAGACCCAGATCAATCAGTCAATCAATCATATGTCACCCATGTACACGCGAGACAAAAAAAGAAAAAGAAAGAAACGTGCAAGCATTCGTGAACTTGTTGGTCGATGAAGGCCGGGCGGAACCGGCCGGCGACCAAGTGGCGAAGTGGCAGGGGGGCAGAGAACAGGAGCGCATGTTTGTGTGTGGGTGTGGGTGTGTGGGTGTGGGTGGGAGTGTGTGTGTGGGAGTGTGTGTGTGTGTGAGAGAGAGAGAGAGAGAGAGAGAGAGAGAGAGAGAGAGAGAGAGAGAGAGTGAGAGAGAGAGAGAGAGAGAGAGAGAGAGAGAGAGAGCACACAGGAAGGTATACAGGACACATGGCAGACCTCCCAGCGTCTAATCTCTCTACCCAATATCTGTTCCAGTATTTCGCTATCATTAAAAAGAAAAACCGTGAATTCTCTGTACCTTCTGTCGATGTGTCAAATATCTGTTTGAATATTTGGCTATAATCAAACCAAGAAAAATCGAGAAAACCCCTTCTTCATGCTTCATGCCAGGGTAACACACATTTGTGTGAGATGATGTCGACCATTCGGTCCACTACACACATTTCTCCTGTTGCTCTTTCCTGCTTCCTCACCCTTCCCTTTCCACTTCCTCTCTCTTCAGTGTTTTCCTCACATTCCCGCCGCTGGGCCGCGGCGAAGGGTCCGCTTGTTATAAGAAAGGGTGTAGCTCCGGACCTTATTGTGTCCATTTGATTGGATCAGGATTAGAACTCATAACCTGTCAATTGAAGTGAGCCAGATGCATTATAGTGAATTGTTGAACAGACTTGAATTGTCCGACGGTGTGCTTCACACAAACGCACACAGCAGAACGAGTCAAACTGCAAACACAAGGAGTAATTCCCAGATGAGTACCGATTGCTTGCCAGGGTAGCACAGCCGACATTCGGCTCCCCCCAACCAGTTGGCACCTACCGGTTATAGGGGTGTTGCCCCCTTGCAACGCCTGAACTCTGGGTTGGGCAGTGGTTTCTGGGCATTCTCCGCCTGTGGGCCCCGGTACAATGGTTCTGGACACCCAACCAGTCAAGAAGTCGGCCAGGCCAGACCTTGCGTCACCCAGCAGCATAACAAATTGTCAATGTGCCGTGAAAATGAGGAGAATCTTTTAAAAAAGGGTTTTCAAAAGTAGCGCATCGCGTTAGTTTCACAGCCAAAATATTGGCGGGGCCCAAGTTTTGTTGCAAAAACATATCTTTGGTTGCAGCTTTAGAGGTCCCGGTAGTTTCACAGCAAAAATATTCGCAGGCAGGGTCCACTTTCCATGCAAAAATAGACATTTTGGACCCGTAGGTCCCGTACAACATTTCTGCTGCGAAACTTTGAAAGCGCGCTCTTTCTGCAATTACCCCTTAAAAGGATTAAAAAAAAAAAAAAAAGAGGAGAACAGCCAGCCACAACAAGGAACGTGCATGCTGCCCCTTCCCACAGCCCAGAAGGAAACAAGTCTGTCTGTGTCTGTCTGTCTTCTTCATCTTCTCCTTCTCCTTTTCCTTCTCCTCCTCCTCCTCCTCCTACTTCTCCTTCTTCTTCTCTTTCTACTTCTCCTCCTCCTTCTCTTTCTCCTTCTCCTTCTCCTGCTTCTTCTTCTTCTTTTTCTTTTTCTTCTCGACCATCACCACTACCTCCATGTCTTATTTTTCTCCTTCTCCTCCTACTACTGCTCCTTCTCCTTCTTCTCTTTCTCCTTCTCCTCTCCTCCTCCTCCTCCTCTCCTCCTCCTTCTCCTCTCCTCCTCCTTCTTCTCCTCCTGCTTCTCCTTCTTCTCCTTCTCCTTCTCCTTCTCCTTCTCCTTCTCCTCCTCCTGCTTCTTCTTCGTTTTCTTCTTGACCATCACCACCACCTCCATGTCGGTTGTCTTCTGCTCCTCTCCTTCTCCTTCTGCTCCTCCTACGTCTCCTTCTCCTTCTTCTCTTTCTCCTTCTTCTCATGCTTCTTCTTCTCTTTCTCCTTCTCCTGCCTCGTCTTCTTCTTTTTCTTCTTGACCCATCACCACCACCTCCATGAGACCAAACCTGATCAACCACAAATCAGCCACATCCAACACAGCCACATGGACAGTGCCAATATATGGTTGATGTCAACTGGAACCACAATTCGAACCAGATGGCCCGAGAGCGCGCAAACAAACGGCTAACATCTGCCATCGGTTTCCGAGTCCAGCGTGTTTTTTTTGTTTTTTTTGTTTTTTAATACCAGGTTGTTGTAGAGGCAGGGTATCAGGCGCGGGAGTACAATACGGGATTTCAGTCACTCGAAATTCGGAATGAGGGACGGAGTCCTCTACAGGCTTAGAGCCCTAAGTCCTATCGCAAGTCGTGTCCCTTCCACATCTACAGCTTGCCACCAGAGATCGGATTCTGTTCCTACATATCCAACCTCAACTCGATATATTGCGAGCCCACTCTACGCAGCTTTGTCCCCCATTCCATGACTTAGCAGATCCCTAGTCGATCCCCCCTCCTATTAATGTACAGTACCAACCCCCGTAATCCACTTATCCTACCCACTACTCAGGAGACAGGCTCAGTACAGTCGTACCCGAGCTACACTTTACCGGCATCCTCTCTAATAGTCCCTCCAGCCCCTATACCCATCTCATAGCCTTGCCCTTGCTTGGTCCATGGTGGGCCCGAGGACCCTGATGATGGGGAAGATGAGAGTACCCCAATGTCCATACACTGCCTAGAAACGACCAGCCAGTCAGGTGGTCCTAATCCATGAGACAAGCATTGACTCGCACCTGCTGGTCATCAGGCAGACTCTAACTACTTGAACTACCCCAGGTAGTGTTTCTACCTACGTCGCAATTTCCCATCCACCCATGCGGTCTCCGCAGGCGGACCATGAGGCCACTTGTATGTGAGTCAACTACTCCCCTCAAGCAGTGAACTACCCGTTAAGCAACCTGAACTATTCAGCCCTACCTACCACAAGGTTGCTGTACCCCTCCCCCCACACACACCCCAGAGATGAGACAGCCTTTGTACCTCCGTGGTTCGAGACACACACGAGAGGGAACACACTTAGACATACTACTCACTCTGCCACTCCCCTCCACTATGAAGGCTCCCTTCTAACCGGGAAACACCATGGTACCCAGATGTCTAGACGGAGACCCCCCTAGGGAGAGGCAGGGAGTAGCAGAGCAGGGTTTCTCTGGGCCCGCGAACTATCCTGTAGTCTAGTACTTACTATGTTCCCACGAGGTTCAAGCAGGGTTCGAATGGAGGTTCTTTTTTAATGCTCATTCAATATCATGCACAATACTACTATGAGCAATCCCTACCTTCTTCCCCCGAACATAACGCATATGCGTTGTAAACGAATACAAGGCATATGTTGCGCTTTATTCGTTTAATCCGCATATTCGTTGTATTCGAGTGCCGTGCAGCAACTTTTTGGACAGAAGGGGGACGGTCCAGCCTGAGTAGGCTCAGTTCTGGTCCTGGGCGGAAAGCATTGGAAAGAGGAAAATTCAAAAATGTGGTGTCGTATCTTTCCATGTTCTGGCCAAGGCCGCCCTCCACTCCTCGTGGAATGTACAAAATGAGAATGAATTCTTCCGCTAGAACATGGAAAGATACGACGCCCCGATGTACTGAGGCACGTCACTCCTGGCTTCCCGCTGCCCCCTGGCTTTCCGCTGCCACTTTCTTGGCTGCCCTTTGTCAGACAGCGGGAGACATCCAAGAAGAGGGCAGGTCACACACACACAGGGGGGAGAGAGAGAGAGCCAGCCCTGCGGCCCGCAGCGTGTCACCGACGGAGCACAAGGGCAGTTTCTTGCCCACAGCAGAGCAGAGGGGGCACACACACACACACACACACACACACACA